TTGGATCAGCTTGGGGTTATTTCTCTTGCTGTTTTTATTTCTATTTATTTTTCTGCTTCGGTTGTTATTTCGTCTTGAGCAGTTTTTGGGCATGGCCAGCAGCGAGTGTGTCTTGACTTATTTTTGGCTCTTTCAAACGCACACACACTCACACAGTCGCTGAGATAGAGTGCGAGACATGTTTGCCCACATTCAAATCGCTTTTCAAGGTTACGTTTTGCCGCCGTTTGCTTCCCGCATTTCAAGTTAACATTTTTTTCGGGGGCCCTAAGCGCAAGTAATGAGCACTTGTACTCAAACGACTCTCGAGTTAATTATAAAAAACTAACTCGAAATTGATTTCGAGAATCTGAACTGATAAAGCCCAATCCAATCCGATCCCAGGCTTGAGCTGAGGTCAAACTTCAACTCGAGTTGTCATTTGTCTAGTGCTTTTTTGAATAATCATTATGATTGGCATTGAACTGAATACATTGCTCTGTGTGGGTTTGATTTGGTTTTGGTTGGTTTGGGTATTGGTTTGGCTTTTCAGCGTTTAGCGAATGCTAATATTGATGGAAAAGTGTGCGTTTCCAAGACCAGAGAACAACAAACCAAACAGGCGTCCTTGAAACGCTAGATAAACCCAGTTGACAAGACGTTAATTGCCGCGACTTTGTTGCCTAATGTTAATATCGGAATATTACGCATACGCAGAGTGTGCGAGGTACTCCGGTGATGGGCAAACAACAGTTAACAAAGCTTCTCGCAAATACCAAATGAGATAAACCCTATAATTACCAATGCACACGCTAATTACCAAGGTCAAAAGAAAAACAGGTGAACGGATACACTTTTTTTAGGGAAACACGTACAGAAGCTTTGCTGTAGCTGAAAAGCTGGTTGCTGCATTTGGTGGAGTTGATGTTGGTGTCCCAGTTGCTGTGGATCCTGCATCATCATTATTTCGGGCGGACTGATCGACGTGGACGACGTGGTGGTGGTTGTTCTGGCAAACAACATGCTGCCAAAACAGAAATCACTGGCAAAATGGCTGTGTGCGCGCGGTAGCTGCTGGAAATTCGACAAAAACGACAGAAACGAGCGACAAACGAGCGAGCGAGCGCACGAATCGAGCGACCAAACCGCACTGAAGAATTCCGATCAAAACGAAGACGGAGCCGCGACTCAAGCATAGAGTTTTGGAGAGAGAGAGCCGGAGAATCGGAGAATGGGAGAGAATCTACGAGCGAATCTACGGAGAGTCGTGTCATGAGTCAGAGTGTATAGTACGTACGATCATGGGCAGATGATGATGATGTCTCTGTATATATGATCTAATGCTGCCCCGTCGATGGCCTCACTTCACTCCATGTCACTCGGTTCATTATCAACTTTAAACAGATACAAAGACAGAGAGCGAGAGAGAGAAGGATAGAGAGAGAGTCAGAAAGAGAAGGCAAAAAGGGGCGGCGACACGAGAGGGGGGCGTGTATGTGTCGAAAATAGGAACTGCTGTGGCAACATGTGATACGGAATGAGCCAACGTGATAAGCCAGCTGCGGAAAGAGTGAACGTGTCACGTTTTCAGCCACCAATCAATGGGCATTCAATGGGCAAACTGAAAGTAATGACTATAGACTCCAGAATACAGGTTGTCAAGTTGTCAAGGTGCCCTCGTGGCATTGTGACATTTGTAAGACCCTTAATAAATGAGTCAACCAAATCGAAACGCGAATTCTTTAGGATAAGAAAAGGTGGTTATCAAAAAATTGTGACTTAACATTTTGTCAATAAAGGATTAATGCGAATCGAATCACCTTTAATCATATAACCATATCAAACACTTTTAATCATAGTGGAATCCTTAATAGAAACAAACTGGGAATGTCTTAAAACAATTTGCTACAAGTTTATAAGACTTGATAAATATTAATGAAAATAACAAAGCGGTAGAAAAAAAACATAAGTGGTGACCCGCACTGCGTATGCGTAATTTAAGGGCTTGTGATGACCCAATTATCGAAAAGAAGCCCGATTCGTCCTAATCACTGGCCCCAAAAAAAGATAGCCCTCGAGTTATTAGTAGGCCACTTCAGAGATGCTCTACAAGTGCAGTCACACCAAATGCTTTGGCCACTTGGGCCGCAACAATGGACTGCACCTAAGAATAAGGTAACCCAAAAACAAGCCACCAAGATTCCAGTTCAGAGATAGTGGCCAAAACCCAGAGAGAGTGTGAGAGAGAGCAGCCCTTAGGCAGTAAACGCACTTGAGATTTGGCCAGGCAACAGCATTCCATATAGCCAGCCAACTAAGCCAACCCAAGCAACGCAAACAACCCAGTTTTCGCAGGACCTACTCTCAAGGACGTTGCTGCTGCGGCTGCTGTGGCGGCTGCAATGGCGCCAAATGCTGCAGTGCAGCTCAATGGGCTCCGAAATCGAGTCCGAGTCCGAGTCGTCCGAGTCCTACTGCGCAGGACCTTCCTTCCTAGGCAAAAACCCACAGCGAGGAAGCAGCAGAAACAGCAGAAACAGCAGAAACACCGCACACAGATACACGAACGCACCCGCATTGTCATCAAAGTAGGTCAACCGCTTGCCATGCTGTCAACGTTTTTCCGAGAGCAGGTCGCTCGCTCTCTCTCTTTTTCCCCTGAGCTCTGTGCTGCTACGTATACACCCCCTACATTTCCAGCTGCCCTGCTGCCAGCATTGATTACATAAGACCCTGTACCAGTACTAGTACCAGACGCATCCACCAACCACCAGACCTCCACGTTTTTCCTCAATTTTACTGCATTTCCTTTGCAGCAGCCCCAGCAACTAACGCATTTCTAGCCTTTATTACACATAAAATATTGAGAATTATCTGACCAACAGTTTGATTCTAAAATGAGCATTTAGCATTTTAACTTGGTAAAATGTACTATATCTTGCTTTAAATAATACAGCTTTATTCCCTCACAATAATTAAATTTAAAATGTGGCTTTACATCTTCTTTTTCCAAGTTTAATTTTTCAAATTTTAAAGATTCTCGTTAAGAAACAAACAAAAAAGTATATTTCAGGCCCTTGAATAATAAACATGTCCAAAGCATACATATATATATTATATATTGAAAAAATATATATATTAGTTTATAAACATTTTACGATCCAATTTTGCCCTGTGTATCACCATCACTTTGTTTTGCTCTCTCTCTAACTATTCAGAAACTCAACCATGACAGCTATAAATAACATGAAAAAAATTAAATAGATATTAAACAAAACAAATGACTGTCAAGGCAGCTAAGCAAATAAATTGTCAGACAACTTATAAACGAAGTGGGTAAATACCCGAATGCATGCATATTAACCTGTTATATGTCCAGAAAAAAAGACAGCCTAATTAATAACAAATGCCCAGCTGTACACACGTAATGTATCTATTTATCTGGGCTCATCTAAAACGCAAACGTTTGAATGAAGAACCTGGCCAAACAGCTGATACAATGGTAAACAAATTCTTTTAAGAACTATACCATAAATTATTAATGGCATCGAGAATTACGTGAGCTTAGAAGAAGAATGGAATAATGAAAAATACTCATATTTACCTATCTAACGAACTTGAACTTACTCGAACAGAACTTCCGCATTCCGCGTGAACTTAAATGAAAACTTGAAAATTTTGATGCAACATTAAGACAACACATGGATTTTGTGTGAATTTTTTCTTGATATTTTTAGTCCGCCCTTACGTATTCCAAATAGCCTGCTCTGCTGAACGGAAACTGAGTATAGTCTTCTCCCCAGTTCCGTTTCTCAATTGACAATCATCGAAGTAGCACACTTCGGCCACAAATTAAGAAACTTCGAAAACGTGTTTGTCTATTGGCTATCCGTCTAAATATCAAAAGCCAGCGGCGGGGGCGACTCAGACATTTACACCTTCTGCTATTTTCGTGGCTATGACGACAGGTACTTCGATTCGATTGCGTTGCTCACGCTGCTCACCTTGGAACTGCCAGCTGGTTTTTGAGCCGAACAAATCATGCAAAGCAACCAGTTAATAGCTCGTGGTCAGTCGGACTGTATGGGTTTGGCAATGGATCGGAGAGGAGCTCAGGCTGGAGCTGGAGCTTCTTTCAAATGCTAATCACCATAAGGCTTGCAGTTCGTCGAGGAGCTGCTCAAATGTCACTCGCTTCACCCAGGGACGGGCTAGCACTTGTATCTAATTGCAGGCCATTGATGATGATGGGGCTGCTGCAGAAGATTGCAGGCGGAGGTCACTGCCAAAATTGGGTCAAACTGGGCCCACGTTGTCTCGGCGCCAAATCCTGCGCAAAGATTCAGCCGCCAGCCAGATGCCAGTAGTCATTTTTAGATGTACCCAATGTACCAGAAGTACCGGGCTGTATCGGTGGGGGCCCTCGGGGCGTATACGCCATATCTGGCTTAATTACGAATCAAAGTCTGCCAGTTCGTTTCGGTTGCGAAACTCAAACTGACATCGAACGTATTGGGGGCAAACTGCAAATGAATTTCTCGTGCTGATTAATTGAAACTTAACAAACAACAACAACGACAGCAACAGACAACAAATAAGCGACGAAATCATAGATACTGGGTATATACAGTAGTATATATATCAGGGGTAACAACAACATGACCATATAACAAAGAAGGGAAACGGCACGATCGGCAAAAAACGCTAGGCAAACACAAATCAATGAGTTATATTTATACGCATCGGAGATAAAGAGCAGTGGATAGATAAATAGATAACGAGTCGAGAGATAGATATAGACAGATATATAGAGACAGAGAATACAGAGTAAGGGAGAGAGAGAGCACGATAATGGGGATATGCAAGAGCGATTGAGATATTTTCCGTTTTCTTCCTTCTGCTGGCGAAATGAATTGGGATTCGATATTGATTTGAATTTGAATTTGATTTGGAATTTGATTCGGAATTTGATTTGAAATTTGATTTGGAATTTGATTTGGATTGGATTTTGGTCAACTTACCGGAACTGAAATGTGAGCGTTTTGTTTGTTCATTTTCCGGATCGGAATCGAGTGGCCTTTTGCGTGAGTCGCCGATTTCAGGACTTGGACATGTCTCCATGGTAGCGTCTTCGGCCATTTTTAACTGAATGTTGCTGGTTTTGGTTATCGACTTTGACTGATGATTGCCTTAGCTTTATCTTTTGCCTTTTTGCTTTTGGTGTTTCTGCTACAGTTTACTGTTCTGTTTCTATGTCTCGTTTGCAGTTTGGAGTGTTTCTTTTCGATTTGATTTGATTTGATTGGATTGGATTGGTTTTGGATTGGCTTGGCTTGGCTTGGATTGATTCGGTATTGATTCGCTTTTGGTTTTTGGTTAAACGACAACGAAACGTTCGATGTTTGGTAATGAGGCGTCTGTTTAGCTTGGTATTATTTGGTTTTTGGCTTGGTTGGTATTGTTTTCTTGTATTTCTGTTTTGGTTTTTTGGTGCGTGCGAGAGCGAGATAGAGCGATAGAGCGAGCTAGCGAGCGAACGAACGATCAAACGAGCGCGGGATGCGTCAGTCACTGTCCTGTTGTCCTGCAGTCCTGCAGTCCTTGTCCTTGTCCAATGGATGCGATTCGATTCGATTCGATTCGATGCGATGCGATGCCTTAAAGGGGGAGATCCGCCACTGGCATCTAAAAGATTGATGGGCTATGTGGATGAGGTCCTTGGTCCTTGGGTGCGCTACTGATGCTGCCACTTATGCACACACATGGAGTTACAGGCTATCGATCGCTCTCAGTTACAGTGACAGCGACAGTGACAGTTCGTGAACGTCGCTATATGTGCATATGCAGATATATATCTTTAGACTCTATTTACGATCCTTCTAGATTTCAGTATTCGTTTCATTATATAGTTTGTTTTTGTTTTTTGATTTTTTTTTGTGGTTTTGTGGTGGAATGTGCGAGTTTTGTTTTTTTTTTTTTGTAAACGTTTATATGAAAAAAGAAAAAGAAAAAAATATTTATGAGTGAATTATGCAGCAATAATAAATATACATACATACAGTAAACATTTAGGCAATATATAGGTATGTTCTGCGCATTAAACTTGTAGTTATAGATACAGTTGTCAGAGTGGCAATGCATTTCTCGAGTATTAAAACACACAGAGGTGAGCAAACATTTAGATAGGTACAAACAATTGAGTTGATTTTAGTCAAGTTGCTTTGATTTATAGTTCTTTCGACATAAAAGATGTTATTTACAAAATGATCAAGGCATTTTGCGAGACTGGAGGAAATCGGGCGGGATTTTTTGGGGGGTGGACCGGGCAGGTCTTCTAAAAGCGTGGATTGTGTAGTAAGGCATTCACATATCAAAACTGATCGGGACAGGCAGATGAGGGGGTAGAGATAGATAAGTTTGAAGCAAGCTTTGTGAATGTGGAACATGTGGTATATGATTGAAAGCAGACAACAAAATGAATTACAGGAATCCATAGAAATAGTTTTGAAAACAGTTTCCCCCTACAGAGAAATATCCAATGTAAGGGAATCAGGTTAGAAGGGCTGAGAAATCTCTGTATCTAAATGTTCACTTTAAAATTAAGTTCTTATTGCTAACATATAAAAGCTTAAACACGGTTTATTTTTGTTTAGTCTAACTTTTGTAGTAAAAAACAAGCAAGCCTTATAAATCAAAGCTGTACATTTTAAACGATGATTTGTATTTATCATATGTACTTAACATCTTTACTAAAACTAAATCCAAAACTAATAATTAATAGCTTTCTATAATAAAGTATACCATGTAAAGCAAAAGAGTTACAATCTCTGCGCATTGCCAGCAAATAGAAGTCACAACCTGATACTACCTATATGAATTGTTAATTTAAATTCGTTCCACCTAAATCCTATCTAAACAAGTCCGTCCCCACAGCGCATGTTTAGTAAGTTATGAATACCTGAGCCAGTTTTTTCACAAGCTGGCAATGAAAACCCAACTTGCAACTCAATTATGCATGAGATGTTTTATTTTATTATGATTTCATTGCTAATTAAAAATGCGCCGACACAAAAACCGAAGCGCGACCAACACAAAAACAACAACGAAATCTGCAGCGACGACAGACAACGCGCATTTATTTGTTTAAAATGGCGTTTAATTATACAAACATTTTTATATTTTATTTCTGTTGGTAGTGCTGGGGCTCAAATGTGCGTTTCTTGTGTTGGTGGGGATTCGATTTGACTGCAAACGACCTTGACCATTAAATAAGTTTGTTGTTTTTTTGTTCGTGCCCGCTTAGCAGCGACCACAAAGCAAAATGAGCAATAAATCGAAGAGATGGCAAAAGCCACCGACATTCAATGCTAAGCAAAAGCAAAGATACATAGATACACGGCGCGATGCGTACTATAAAATACTAGTTTGCCATTGTATGGCATGCACTGCACAGAAAGAAAAATGAATATCATATATCCAATAATGTTTGGAATTCATGGTCCAGCTATGACTTTGAAACTGGCACTTTGGCTAAAAAGTCAGATGACAAATTCTCTATAACATCAATTTTAACAAAGACACAAGCTATAATTGAAAAGTTTATCACGTCATATGCAAATAAATCATTAAATTTGATCGAACAGCTTCTACTTCCCTTTTTTTATATTAACAACAACTGCCAGCAAACATAAACTAACAATTCATCTTGACTGTGGGTAGTTTCCATATTTTTGTTCCGTGTAATCACTGCGCGCGGCACCTGTCGTCAGCGCAGCACCGAGAACAAAACAGGTAGGTCGCACAAATTTGCATTTACTTAAGAAATTAGTGGGGCCACAAATGCGAACATCAAGAAACTAAAGATCGATTTAGCAGTGGCTGGAGATGCGAGAACGAGTTTTCGATTGACGCGAACAGAACCAGTTGCTTTTGCGCCTCGGCTTGGCATTTGAGTTTTTCAATTAATTCACTTAATGCTTTTCGGTTGACTATTTGTTGTCTTTCGCTGACGTTCGTAGAAGAATTCCCACTCGAGGCGAGCGCATCGAAAATAGCGTCACTTGGAGAACTCTGAACAAAAATCGCATAATAAATGCGACAACCTGGCAATCAAATTTAGCTGCGGCTTGGCCCCAAAATCTCCCAGAAGTGTGCCCCGCAAAAGTCCCCAGAGATGCCCCTTGCCCCATGCCACATGGCTTTTTAGCTTTTCGGCTGCTTCCCACAAAACACGCAAAGTGCTCGACATTTTTCACTTTACGTGCGTCCTTGAAAACTGCAGCGGGCCAAATGGGATTGGGAAAATTTTAAGCAAAATACTTTTTTTCTTGCTCGCTTTGCCTTGACGATGATTAGAGGAAAAAGCCATGCACAACAACGAGAAAACGTCATTGATGCAGTCAAGCCGAAAATGTGTTAATGGTGATGAATTGGAAACAGCTGCAGCATGAAATGCACTCTCCAATCAGCCCAAGGATAGTTCGGCGACGAAATTATAATCAGAATGGCGAAAGTGGGCTGACATGATGGAGAAGTGCACAAGTTTATTATAACAAATACACATTGGAGCCCAGTTTTCTATATAAGAAATGTGGCATATGTATGGAACGAATCATTCACCCTTTGTGGTATCCGTCGAGTTCGTCGACAACTAGAGGATGCCTGCAAGAACCGATTTCTGCTCCCACTTTCCGGTTTATCATCAAAGTTCTTATGGCGAAACGGAAAAAAATGAAAATAAATGAAAAAAATATTCCATTTACTCAGCCACTCGTACGCTTATGCTTACATACATAGGGCCACCAACTTATCTCCCTGTCGGACTCACAGTTATCACTCGAGCGGAGACGACGGCGATAAGGTTTATTTTCGTTACTTTTTGGTTTGTCGATAAGGCGGCGGGCGACCAGGGACGTAGATAGCAAACCCAAGCGATGGGGTTTCTTTGCGACTAAATCAATCAAAGGGGCACTCGTAACGCCCCTGGAATTATGACGAAATTATGACTTTTCGTGAGTTACTTGTTTGCAGGCAAACGAGAAATGTGGAGACAGATTATGGAATAAAATGAGCATGACATCAGAAGTTTGGAACGAAGTTTGAGAAGTTCGAACTATAATTGGGTGGTTTTTTTTTTTTGTTGAAAAAGGGGGCGACACGCGACCCGCATCTCATTGTCAGAGCGAGAGATTTATGCTTTGTTGCCTAATTGAAAGGCCTGTGTTGTTTGCATGTTCTGCTGTCCGATAAGCAGTTCTTGAGCGTCTCTTAAATGTATGTATTGTACATATCTGCATAAATGCCCCTCGTGGGCACCACATACATGTTATATCAAGGCACGAAACACTTTTTTTGGAATTGTGGTGTGGGTATTAGGGGGTGCAACCACTTTGTGGGGCTCTCAAATAGCGAACTGTCAGTGGCGATGATTCCCAGCACTTAACGACACGACACTCACTTGAGACTTGAACGGCAGTTGCCCACCAAATTGAAACTTCTGAAATAACACACACTTCGGCGAGGGCAGTGCGCGAGTACGTGAAAATCAAATACAACTAAATTCAAAAACTGAAAACAATTAAAAACGAAATGGGTTTCGAGGCGGGCAGGCCAAAGTATCTACGAGATTCAAACACTTGCCAGAGGGAGAGTGGTAGAGAGCCATAGCCAGTTTCACAGCGATAGAGGGAGAGAGCCTGCAGAAGAGCGGGAGTATCTGGCAGATACTTTATCTACAAACTGTCGAGTGCTCGTCGCTGGGTTTGCAAGTGTTTGCTCAGCCGTTTTCAGAGCTCTCTCACTCAGCGCGTTTGTGTATGTGTATTTATATTCTTATCAGTAAATAGTTTACGCTATATGCTGCACTTTGCTCCTCGGTCTCCCTATACCTATCGTTCTCTATCCCACTCCCAGTGCCATTCGCTTAATTGTTTTGTTTTTGTTGACTCGGCCGTGTCTCAGACGCCTCGACGCTGATAAAACTTTAAGTTTTGGCCATATTCGGGTCCTAAGTGCACTCTCAAAAAAACTGAATCTACAACCAAGAAATTATCTATAAGACCCTATAGGAATTGGTCTTACAAGCATAAAAAATATAGAAAAACTCTAACAAGGGAGACCAATTAATAATTGTAATTTAACAGAGTTATCCAAATATTTATACCAGTATTGACTAACTAACTATTTATGTATTATCCTGGGCTTAAAGTATAGGTAACTCAAATAGTTTAAAAATATCAACAACAAGAAAGAAAGCAAACTTCGGCAAGCCGAAGTTCATATACCCTTGCAGCTATCGCAAGAATTAAATATTTTTGAAAACATTAAAATTATGATTTACTTGCGTATATGTTTAAAAACATTGAAGCTATGACGATTTGCAGCTTAATTATTTGATTGTTCTTTTATATATTTTTATTATTTGTACGAAAGCTATATGATATAGTCGTCCGATTTTGATGAAATTTAAACCATAATTCTAAAATATTTAACCATTGCTATATGTCGAAGAACTAAAAAAAAAATTAAAAAACAGCAAAGTTATAATTTTTTTTCAATTATTTTTCCGATTGTTCCTATGGGAGCTATATGCTATAGTCGTCCGATTTTGATGAAATTTTAACCATAATTCTGAAATATTTACCCATTGCTATATGTCGAAGAACTAAACAAAAAATTAAAAAACTGCAAAGTTACAATTTTTTTTCAATTATTTTTCCGATTGTTCCTATGGGAGCTATATGCTATAGTCGTCCGATTTTGATGAAATTTAAACCATAATTCTGAAATATTTAACCATTGCTATATGTCGAAGAACTAAACATAAAATTAAAAAACAGCAAAGTTATAATTTTTTTTCATTTATTTTTCCGATTGTTCC